CTTTCTTTCTTTCTTTCTTTCTTTCTTTCTTTCTTTCTTTCTTTCTTTCTTTCTTTCTTTCTTTCTTTCTTTCTTTCTTTCTTTCTTTTTTTCTGGAGGAGACAAAGCTTCATATAGCCCTGGCTTGCCCCTAGTTGCCCCTAAATAGCAGAGGATAACCTTGAACTCATAAGTCTCTGCTTCCCAAGTGCTGGGATTATAGGCATGTGACACCATACCTGGATCACTGGCTTTTCTTAAAATGAGGAGAAACCATCACTCCCAGTGGAATGCCAGTGCTTCCAATGAAAGCGATGTCGTGGCAGTGCACACCAACACGCCTCACCCCAGAGGAGTTGAAGAATATCCTGGATGTCCCCTTAGGGGCTGGTAAAATGATTCAGGGGGTAAAGGTGCCTGCCACCAAGCTTGACACCTGAGTTCAATCCCTGGGACCCATGTGGTGAAAGGAGAGACCCAGCTCTCCCAAGTTGTCAGCTGACGTCCACATGCACTCTGTGACTTTCATCTCACACATAGACACAGAGATCAAATAAATAAGTGTAATAAAAAATTTAAATCAGAGGCTGGAGTTCAGAAGGTAAGAGAACTTTCTGGTTTTTGTTTTTTTTTTTTTTTTTTTTTTTTTTTTTTTTTTTTTTAACGAAGGACCTTATTCAGTTCCCAGGACCCACATAGCAGCTAGGGTCTGGTGCTCTGCTCTCTTCTGGCCTCCACAGGCACCAGGCACTCATGTTATACACATACAATAAAAATAAATAAATTTTTAAATTAAAAATAAAATAGTGGTCAAATAAGTTTAAAATTTCTCATCTTAGACACTTAAGTGCACAGTTCAACAGCATGAAGCTACCTTACCATCCACCTCTAGAACATTCCGTCCTTCCAAGTGAAATTGTGTTCCCATGAAACATTTCCTCTCCACACCTCCCCATCCTGCTTTCTGCCTCTGTGAATTTGATGGCATTGCAGACATCTGTGAGTGTATTCTTGTAGTACATAGTCTTTTGTGTCTGACTTATTTTCTTGTACCTGTCCCCCAAGTCCATCCACACTATAACATGTGTCAGAACTTCCTTCTTCTGTAAGCCTGATCATATTTCACCCGTGATGTGGTTGGACCACCTCATCAGAACACAAGAGGGACTGGACAACTGCTCAGATCTCTTGTACTGCTCGGTCACCAGCTGGCCTAAGGCAACATCCTTCTGAACCCCATGGGAGGAACCCTAGAAACACCAGTGTCATTGCTGGAGAAGAGCCTTGGGCAAGGGTGTAAGTGGCCTGGGCTTCCTGAGTTTCACTGTATTAGGATCACAGGAAAGGGGCTCAAAATGAGACAGGAGCAACCCAAGCTGGTATGGGGGTTAGCGTGAGAAAAGTGCCCCATAGGCTCAACATTTGAAAAATGGGTTCCCAGTTGGTGATGCTATTTGGGGGAGGTTATGGAAACCTGGGGAGGTGGACTCATGCCAGAAGAAGTATGTCACTGGAGGTGGGCTTGGAGACTTCATAGCCTCACTCCCACTTTCCAGTTCACTTTCTGCTTTTCGCATGTGGTTGAAGATGGATCTCTCAGCTTCCTGCTGCCAAGCCTCCTCTGCCGTTATGCACTCTCCCTCTAGACTGGGAACCGAAAATAAACTCTTCTATAAGTTGCTTTTGGCCGTGGTGCTTTATCACAGTGACAGAAAATTAACTAATACAGCTGGAGGATGGCTCAGTCAGTAAAGTGCTTGCCACACAAGCCTGAGGACCAGGGCACCATCTCCAAAAAACCAACACAAAAATGTGTGGGTGATCAAAGCGCTTGCACTGGGGATATAGAGACAGGAAGATCCCCGTGCGCCCTGGCCAGGCAACCTAGCCTAATTGGTGAGTTTTGGGCCAAGTAAGATACCGTGTCTCAAAAAATAAGGTGCCCAGTGCCCGAGGGAAAACACTCCAAGTTAACTTCTGGCCTTTGAGTATATATGCACACACATGCACACTTAAAGATAAACAGTAATACCCGTGTGTGTATGTACATGTGCATACACACACATAGAACATACGTGCCAACAACAGGCACAAAGAGAGGAGAGAGAGGCTGAGGGGGGGCGGGG